TCCTTCTCACTCATATTCTTCGTTCGTCTCTTCTTTGAAGGCTATTATTCACCAAATACGCTATTATTCACTGATTACTTGGGCGCATCTTTCCTAATAGGATTCTGACAATAGATGACTTATACAAAACTACTATTGGGTGATCAGAGCAATCTAGAATCTGTGAATTTAGGCGCATCTTCCCTAATAGGATTCTGATGATAGATGACTTATGCAAAACTACTATGGGATGATAGTGTAATAGCCCAAAATAAATAAACAAATAAAAATAATTTTATATATGTATATATATATATATATATATATATATATATATATATATATATATATATATATATATATATATATATATATATATCTAAATAATAATAATAATAATAATTCATAAATAAATAAATAATAAAAAGGATTACTTAAAAATAAAAATAAAAATAAAATTTACCCATCTCTCCACTAACCTCTCATCCCAACCGCATCCTCTTTTCTCAACCCCCACATATCACAGTTCATCCAAAAATAAATAGAAAAATGTCAGATTTGAGGAAAAAGTAAAATTTTTGTACCAAACAATATTAAAATTGACCAATAATATCTCGGTTTACATAATGAAAATAAATATAAGGTTAGAGATCTTGTTTGCATAATTAAAAATGTTTACAGAATTGAAATTTTATTTATATAATGAAAATAATTAGAAATAGAGATGAGAGAAGAATGATGAAAGATTTGTAAAACAGAATTAGAAGGCAACAAATAAAAAAACGATGATTAAGGAATTAAAAACCACAAACTAAATAATAGAGAAAATAGGTAAATACAGAGAGTAGTAAAGCCCATAGTAACTTAAATAGCTGTACTTTTTTATAAGTAGTAACCCTGGAAAATAAAATTTTTAATAAAAATATAATTATAAACCTATAACATTTCAAGACTTTTAATAATGGACCTATTAAATTAGAGAAATAATTTTGTAGATTTCAAACTTGAAACTGATATCATGGGCTCACATAGGTTAACTCGGATTTCAAAGGATGGAATCAAACTTTCATTAAAGATATATTCGCGACAACGACTTAAGCTAGCCAAGTAAGTGACCTTACTATCGGCATGGTTATATTTGATGTTGACACGTGACCCATGGTTCTGCACGTGTCATATATATTGATATGTGTGAATTGTTTGTGGATCGATATGCTTCTTATATGTTATGTATATGTTATAATATGTGAATCGTATGATAATTATTACGGTACGATGTGTTCAAGGATATGTTTGAGATAGAATACGAAAATGATGCACAAAATGAAATGTAACGATAGGAGTAAAATACATTCATGAAACGTTAAGGTTAGGTTACATATCGGAGTGATATGGATAAGAGAGATTGATGGAAGAATACGGTTATGTTACGAGTAGAAAGGGATAGGTTTCTGATAGATTGATAGAACGATAGCGTTAGGATTGATAGAACGATAGCGTTAGGTTACGCTTTTGTGATGATATGACTAAGGTACGTTCACGTAATGATATGTCTGTGATAGGTATAAGAACGTTAAGGCTATGATAAGTTAGAGAACAATATGACTACGAAGTGTTTACGTTATGATTTGTTTATGATATGATACACTGTGATGCAATATGTCATCGTATGATGTGTATATGATGAAATGTTACGTTAAAAGCATAGAACGTTATGTTAGGTCTCTTAAATTGTGTGTATACAGCATGATATGAATGAAATGAAATTACGATAAATGACATGAAATATAACTCCGTTAGAATTATGTATGATTTGAGAACTGAAGAATGAGAAACAATATAATATGAATGATGAACGATATCTGAAATGATATGAGAAATGATATGATATGTACATAATGCTAGCGGGGTTGTATTAAAGGATAATGAAAATGAAAAAGTTGTGGGACCTCATGCATTATGTGTGCTCATGCATTTGGGGGATACCCTTATCCCATCACGAGGGTACAGACGCGTACATCCAATGGCAGGACAACGATCGTTATGCTTTGCATAGCACTGTCGTGACGGTTACTAATTCTAGCAGGTGTCCTAGAGTATGCCCACCGGATAAGGAAAGTGGCCCAGTGGTGTGCGAACTAGCTGGTGAGCCCATACTCGCACGTATGAGCTGTGTGTAGAGTATATGGTACACATTCAAAATTACCCGTTAGGACAGCACCGTAGGAAAAACGGAATGAAAAATAGGTCCCATCATCTCATTGCATGTGATTGTTGCATTTAATCCCAATAGTAAGATCACTTACTGAGTATTTCTTTTCAAGCCATGTGCTACTACATTTTTCAGGTTAAGGCAAGACATTCCTATACGGGTAACGACGACATCGCAACTCGAGACCATGGCAGATGCATAGGATAGTGGTATTTATTTTCTTTGACTTAGGTTAGAATAGGATGTTTTTAACTTAAATGCTTATTTATTTTGTTTAGTCTTTTGTTGTGTCGTTTTAAAGATGTTTTCGAAACACGTAAGTCCATGGCTGTGTTTTAAGATAAAGGTTATGTTTTATGGAATTTAAATGAAGTTTTCCGCATTCATGTTTATGGTACGTATATAGTAGCGACCTTAAATTAAGTAGAAAATTTCAGGTCGTTACAATCAGAGCAGTCGAGAATCTATGAATTTGTGCCCCTCCTTTGTAAGGACTTTGAAGTCATGCTCCAGTTAGTCCTTTTAGTTGGTCACCAGTTAAGCAATCGAAAATATGTGAATCTGTGCCCCCCCCCCCCCCCCCCCCCCCCCCCCCCCCCCCCCCCCCCCCCCCCCCCCCCCCCCCCCTCTGTAAGGCCTTTGAAGTCAAGCTCCGATTAGCCCTTCTGGTTGTTCAACAATTAAGCAATCGAGTATATGTGAGCCCCCTCCTTTGTAAGGCCTTTAATGTCAGGCTCCAGTTAGCCCTTATGGTTGTTCACCGGTTAAATAATTGAGAATTTGTGAGTCTGTGCCCCCCTCCTTGGTAAGGCATTTGAAGTCATGCTCCAGTTAGTCCTTCTAGTTGTCCACCGGTTAAGCAATTAAGAATCTGTGAATTTATGCCTCCTCCTCTGTAAGGCCTTTGAAGCCAGGCTCCGATTAGCCCTTCTGGTTGTTCAACAGTTAAGCAATCGAGTATATGTGCTTCTAGTTGTCCACCGGTTAAGCAATCGAGAATCTGTGAATATGTGCCCCCTCCTCTGTAAGGCTTTTGAAGTCAGGCTCCGGTTAGCCCTTCTAGTTCTTTCTTCCTTACTTGATTCGCCGAAAGTTTTTGTGCTCCTCTCGTTCTCCTATTCTCCATTCTGCCAAGAATCTGTGAATATGTGCCCCCTCCTCTATAAAGCTTTTGAAGTTAGGCTCCGGTTAGCCCTTCTAGTTCCTTCTTCCTTCCTTGATTCGCCAAAAATTTTTGTGCTCCTCTTGTTCTCCTATTCTCCATTCCGCCTCATCTTCGAAGGGGCCTCTTGTTCACCAATTACTAGGAAATTAGAGTAATCAATCCCACTTTGAAGTCAGGCCCGCCTTATCTTCCAAGAATAAATATAGCTCTTTCTCGTTTACTTTTTTTCAAATATCCATGTGGATGATTTCTTGATACTAGTTTGTGGGGCATTTTGAGAATCAAACTCGAGACCTCTCACACCCAAAACGAGAATCATATGCCCTTATAATGGATCAATCATTTTTAGTTGCTAGTCCATGTATTTTCTGAATTTGAAATTTATCTGAAAAGGGACAAAGCTTACTATTACAATCGGTATTTGGCTATAGATATGTATAAAAGGGCCAGGGGCATTCTGAGAATTGAATGCAGAACCTCTCGCACCCTAAGCGAGAATCATACCACTAGACCAAATACCCTTCTAGTAGATCTACCATTTTCATTGCAAGTCCACGTATTTTATGCCCCTCAAGATTTGAAATTTATCTATTTGTTTTATTTTTTTTTTTGTATATAATATCTTTAAACTAATCATTTTTATTATTTTTTGAAATTTCATGATCTATGATCGTTTTTTTTTTTTTTTTTTTTGTAAATAATTTTAGATTGATCTGTCAACTTTTAATTATNCTTTATTTAAGATTGTATTGGAATAATTATAAATTGTGGATAGATATCTTTTTTTAACCATCCGACAACCCAACCCGAAAATAGAAGTTGGGTTGGGTTGGGTTGTGAAACTTTTCGGATTGGGTTGGGTAAAAAAAAAAAATTCCTCAACCCAACCCAACCAGAACCACTTGTTTATGATCAAATCATAAACCAAGTTTCTCTCGAGCCAATGAGAGGTGGGACTCCATTGTTCAAGTCTCGAAATTAATACTTAATAGAACTAACTCCTCTACTTTTCTTATATTGAAAGGAGTAAATTCCATCTCATGATATTATGTTACCAACTCTCTATTTGATCAAGTCCCAAAATGGTAGACATATTGAATCAGTCGAAGGAGTCATTCTCAACCATGTAAATGAAAGGACAAGTCCTCAAAGACAGGAGTTTCTAACTGATTCAGGATTAAGATCAAGTGGCATATGATCATCACATGAAATACTAATCTTCTCCATTAATGGATTTATAAAGAGAGATTAAATATTTCTTAGTCCAGTTTTAGACAAATTCATTGTATGATACCCCACTTACATGTCTCATAAATGATTTGGGTCCAATTATATGTAGTAATTACAAAGTGGGTTGTATCAATAGTGTTGTCAGAATAAGACACCCAATTTTATCCATATACTAGACTTCAATAGATTATTACTTGAACATCATTCTCTTGTATCTCAACCACGTATGGTTTTAAAATTACATTAATATCCATAAATTTTCTTACCATAAATAACAATTAAATTATCGTTAAAATAATAAAATTATTGTTAATTTATTTGGAATAGCACACATGCAGAAATTAAAATTTCCGAAAGTTTATTATTATTATTATTATTATTTTGTTGATATTAGTTTTATAATACCAAAGGGCAAAGGCGCTGTTGTTCCCTCTCCGGTCCTCCGTTAGTCGGCTTAATTTGCAGTCTCGCAGACGCACAAAGTTGGTGACGAAAGCAATTTAGGGCACACGTAGTCCGAAGAAGAAGCTGTTGTCCATGGAGTTGGTAGCCGAGAAGAAGGATTTTGATTCTGCTAACGACAACAACAAGCTTAACTCTGCTCAAGCAGTTCTTGATTCTTCTTATCCTCCCTCAGTCGCTGCGGATGAAACTGGTAGTAATAACAATTCTAAAGAAGCTGAAGATTTGAGTGAACGCGTAGCTCGAGACCTCAAAGATGGCCTTCATCCCCTAAAGGTACTCTCTCCCTCTCTCTCGCTCGCACATACAAATATGCGCGTGTAGTGTATGTGGATTTTGATCTGCTCGAAGAATTGGAAACGTACTCAGATGAATTTCTTCACTATTTTTTCGCCATTGATACTTTTTTTTTTTTTTTTTTTTTTTTTTTTTTTTTTTTTTTTTTTTTTTTTTTTTTTTTTTTTTTTTTTTTTTTTTTTTTTTTGTATTTTCCCGGTGGGGGACGGGTGTAGGAAAGACGTGTTGGGTGGATTGAAGGGTGCCTTGATTACTTATGTTTTGGTTATAATCAGGACGAGGAAATTAAGAAATGAAGAATATTCTTATGTCTGTTGCTTGTGTTCTACTTCATCGTGCTTTATTTTTAAGAGGGTTATCAAATTTTATTTTGATGAAAGGAACTTTTCACATTCGTCTGTGAAAATTGAACCAGAGTCGATCTCTTCATTACAACTTGATGCCTTTTGCGGAGTCTTGTTCATTTTAAGAGGATGGAGCACCTTGATGGTAGTAGTTAATTTCCCATGCGTGCATGTCTTATCATGACCACCTGGTAGCATGGACTCTGTCATTTGAGTCAAGTACCAGCGTCAAATTGGACACCCGTAATTGTGATTTTGAATGTCATTTATTTTATCATGGTCCAGACATTTGGTTCCCTCAGCATGGCAAGTAACAAATCAGGATATGTCATCTATCAAGCCTTCATAGTCTTTAGTTCCCAAGCATTGCAGCCTTTAAGTAATCCATTCAGTAGGTTCAGAGATTGTTTTGACCAAAGGTGCTACCCATTCGAAAAAAATGCTCTTCAATTTTTTATATTTATTTGGTTTCATGTATCGACAATTCTGATGGGGAGTCTGACAAACCTGAGTGGTGTGGAATCTGGTTTACAACCATTGTGCAATCATTTAGATGATGTTAGTAAGGAATCTTATGCTGAAGCATTAAGCTTAACTTTTCAAGAGAAGTATTCTTCTTCTAAAATTGATGTGGATACTAATTTTAATCAAGAAGTTCTTCCTCCTCTGCTCTAGTACTTAGCAACTTCTCAACTCTCATATAAGCTTGTGGTCTTCAGATTCAAAAAAATTATCTGATGAAGTTAAATGGTTATCGAGTACAAATTAGTTGGTTTTTACCTATTTACATCTTCAATTAAGTTTATATCCTGAATCACCAAGGGTCATGGTTCTTCCAAAAGATTAGCATTAAAAAGTTTCTGAGGAAGTTTCTTAGAAGGAGATAGGCTTCTCAAGCAAGGTCAAATGATGGCTACTACAAAAGAAAAGGTAGCAGTGGTTAATTAAGTACAAAAGTTGGCTGGCGTCGATTGTGAGCTAAGTAGGAGTTGTTAGCTCTTAGTTGAATCGTCGTTTATAAGCTTAAGCAGGAGTTGTTAGCTTTTAGTTGATTAGATAATTTATTGGTTTATGGGTTTGAATTTGGAAGAATTTTAGCCTCCTCATCAAAAGATGCTCCTATTAGCCCCTTGTATCATGGCATTTTGGGGTCATTTTCCAAGGCGATGTTTGGAAGTAGATTGATTTTTTCAGTACAATGAAACGGGTTGTTAGTTTTTGGAGTGAGAGGTTTTAAGAAATGAGTCAATATTCTTTTTGTTCATACTCTTCAACATTTGCATTCAAAACAGGAAGATGGTTTCATTGCTAATTTTTGTGGAGAGTTTGGTTATCTTAATTCTTAAATTTTCTTTGGCTTGATCGTTTTTTATTATTTTCTTTTTTTATTTCTATGTTTAATTTGGTTTTTATTTTTGTTGTAACTTTGGTTCTTCTTTCATTTCCCTGTGGAGTATGTATCGTTTGAGCATTAGTCTCTTCTCATTTTATCATTGAAAATTTTTGGTCCTTGTTCAAAAAAAAAAAAAAAAAAAAAAA